ATGCTGAGGACCCCGGGAAGAGCCCCCCACCCCACCCCTCACACACACGCCGTGCCAAAAAGTGAATCTACCGGGAGACCGAGTTCTGTCTTTGCTTTCAAGGGTTGCCTTGACAAACTCTAGCCGCTCCTTAAACAAACCAGACCTAGTCTCACCTAGCTGGGGGCCGGGGGAGATCTTTAGAAAAAGCCTCTCTCTTATTTTTGGGACTGACAGGTTTGCTATGTGACAATACCGATTCCACTCGAGATTACTTTGAAATCTCATCTCGTTTAAATTGCTCTAGTATCTTGAAATACAGACCTGCAAAAATTAGCTCAAGGAGAGTGAATGTAGTCACACCATAGTCTCTTTCTTTTGGGTCCTTTTCCAGAACCTTCAAACTTTCCATCCTCCCGCTTAAGCCTGTTCCTATGGGTTATTTGCCTGGTTTCTGTTTATTTTATAATGAGCCCTCACATAGTTAGTGTTCAGTTAAGGATTTAAAAGAACTTTTTATGGAAACTTTAGCCGTACAACATCCCAAATGAGTTAAGTAAGAATTATGTAGTGAAGGACAAACAATCTTTAATGAGTAATATATTCAGAATACTTTGGTTCTCTATTTATGAATTTTCTGCACTTAAATTGGTAGGGGAATGGATTCTTCACTTAAAATCAGTTGTGACTTCAGCTATTAATGCTGTGTCTGTAGAATCAGTGGAGGACAGTTCCACCTGAATATCTGAAAGTGGTTATTTATGCTTTGCTGGTTAGTTTCCTGGGTCATGTGGTATTGTTTCTGGTCTCTGAATGGATAATTTCTGTAAGTAACCACCAATAGTAAGAATTTTGAATTGCATGTTACTGTAGAATTTGAAATCTGAACTGTTGGTCAGCTGTGATTCATAATCCACTTTAGATTACTATTTGGCTAGTTCAGGCTTCACATCTGTTTTTTTCCTCATTAGTGAAAGCTTTTATTTTCTAGCTAGAATATTTATGCTAAGTGAACACAGAATTTATTTAAATATTTGAATAAATATTTGCTTAAAAGGTTTAAAGTATTGGCTTAGTTCTTATGCACATGTCACAGATATCCTTGGAGTCATCTTGTCCCCAATTCACTGAATCCTGGTTCCCACTAGGGAGTTGTTTTGAAAGAACTGGCTAGTTATTCTGAAATTTTTACTCTTGCTTTTCTCAGGGAATAACGCTTATTTAAAAATTATTATTTTCAAAATAGCATTAGTGTGGACACTCCGCTGCTGCTATTTTGAAATAACTATTCCCTAGTGCTTCCTGGAGCTCTATGTCAAGGTGGTGCATCCACAACAGAGGCTTCCTTGTGGTGTGGATATGCTATTTCAATTTTTTTATTCTGGGAGTTAATAAATCAATTTTCGTTATTTCAAAATAATTTTCTAGTGTAGCCATGCCTCATTGAGTTAGTGGCAGAGTTTGGAATCAAACCCAGAAGGCTGACTCTGTTCCCTGTTTAACTAGTTGCTGATACTATGTAATTTATGAGAGGTTTTTTTTTAATTGCATAAATACATAGCACAACAATGAAAGAAGCACCTGTTTCTTCAGACCTGCATGTGACTACAGTTCCAATTTGAAATTTAGCTTTTGTAGTCTCTAAATGTATGCATTTATACTAGGTTGATGGCTTTGCCTTTGCTAGGCAAAATAAAGATATGTTATTTTATGAGGATTGACCCACATTAGTTAATGTGTTAAGAAAACATGCCTTTATCCACACAGTTAACAAAGGTTAACCCATGTTAGTTAACATCTTTTCCTAGTGAAGATAGAACCATAAGTCCAGCATAAATAGAGCTTCATGATCCACTTCATTGGAGAACACACATATTCTATGTAATTATATATAAGGGAACTGGGGTCACTATTTTAGCCAGCTGACATCTGATAGTGAGCTAGGAAGACACCAACTGGTCACTGTCAACTGGCAGTATACAAATACATCAGATGTGAGAACTAAGGCCCTAATTCTTGTGTTCAGCTGATCTCTCTGTTGTCCCAAGGGACAATAATGCATATGAATTTGTGAGATTAAGAGCATGTCTAGAGCATACATTGTGTTGCATCTGGGCTGAAAACTTGCTTTGCAGGGTTCATAATATAACCTGCTTGATTTTGGTATTTTGAGGAGGGAACGATTGATACATCTGGGATATTAAACCATATATAGTGGTTTCTGTGCCAGTGGTACTTCACATGGACATTTTATGAGACTTTAAGTGCCTAAAAATTTATACAATGAAAGTTATGTCTCTGAGAGTTTAAGAATATGGATGAATAGCAATAAAGTAAAACTTCTCTTAAACATCTGTGAAGAGCCACTTATTGGATTTGGCTCTTTCCTTGTAGCTTCCCAATTCCAATCCTAACCCTTCTATTTTAATAACCATTCTTACAATTTCCAGTCTCTTACAGCTGCTGTTTTCATGTGTCCTTCTCCCACTTCTACCCCCAATCACATTTTATCATACGTTCTCTTCTTTCTTAAATCTTGTCCTCTTCTGTGTTGATAACTTTGGATGAAATTTATCCTTTCTCTTGGTCCTTAGCATGGGAACTGGATTTTGTCCTTAAACCTGAAAAATTACACACTGTTACCCTATTGTTATATTATTCAGTCTAGAGTCTTTTTGGAGTCAGTAGAGAAACGCCTTTAGAGTGAGCCTTGCTTGATTCCCATGTGACCTAAAAGTTTTTAGTGTCTTTTTCTGAAACTCTTGTTGAGTTTGAGGAGGGATAAGCTTGGACACTGTACAACCACTTGAGTCTTGTCTACACTATGGAGAAAATTGATGCTGCCACAGTCCATCATCCAGGGTTTGAATTAGCATAGAGGTGGGGAACCTTTTTTGTGTCACAGGCCACTGACCTACAATAAAATCAGTCAGGGGGCTGCACACAAGTGAAAAGAAAACCCTCACTGATTTGGCCCCTGACTGAGAAGCTGAAAAACACTTCTCACATTCCCCTCATACACCAGAGCCTTGAGGGGCCCAGGCGAGTAGATTTTGTGTGCCCAGGGATGGCGTGGGACTGGAGCACCAGCACAGGCTCCCCAATGCTGGGACGGAGCGTGGAGTCCTGAGCCTCAGGGGCCTGATACAAGGAAGCTCAGGGCTGCATCCTGCCCCCAGGCCTTAGGTGCCACACCCCGAAGTAGCAGGTCTGGTGAAGACCTGCTAATTCGAACTGGGAGGATACTCCCATCAGCACCAGTAGTCCTGCTCCTCATGAGGAGTAAGGGACATCAACAAGAGCATATGCTCCTGTTGACCTCCTGCTGTGTGGATGGCGCCAACACGTGATTTAAGATACTTCAACTCCTGCAACATAATTAACGTAGCTTGGAATTGTGTATCTCAAGTCTACTTTCCCCTTTAGTCTAAGCCTGGCCTGGCTGATTTGACTGTTGGCCAAACTGACTTTCCTACAGATATCTTGGCCACCCTGGATAAGATCTTTAACTGGTGTACACAGGCTCGGCTCCCTGATCTTTAATGGAACTTTGCCATCTTACACCAGCTCAGGATGTTTTCCTTTCTGTCCCTGTCCTGAAAATGCTCTGTTCCAACTGATCTGGTTTGTTTCCTCTACTTACAGGGGAGATAGCCAATTTGTTTGTTTTGTCAAGTTTCTGATCTCCCTTTTTCCCTGAAGGTTGTTGGAAAGGTTGCTACCTCGCTATAAGGAACAACTTCTAACTAATGATCTATCGCATACATTTCAGACTCCTTGTCATCCTGCTCACAGCGCTGAGACTGCCTCAGTGGCAGTTCTCTAATGATCTGTGAGTGACTGCAACAGATCAGGGTTATGTTTATCTGTTATTCCTACTGAAGCTGTCAGCTGGAGTTGACACATCATTGATCACAAAATTCTGTTTAAAAAGTCTGAATTCCTGTAATAGTTTATTTGGCTCTTCACCAGCCTGGTTCAGTTCTCACATTTCCTAATCCTGACAGTTTTATCACTAGTGGCCCTTATACTTCTAACATATCTCAAATTGCCAGTGCAAATTGTCCCTGGAGTTTGCCAGGGTTTCATTTTATTCAGTATTTGTGTGCTCCCTTTTGGGCAGTATCGTTTGTATTAAAGGACTTCCATGCAACATGCAAATTGACAAAAGTGAGGTCTATTTTTCAAGCAGTGTGTCGCTTTCAATCCCTTGCTAGTTCATAGCCAGTAGGGGCAATGGAGCAGTGTGCATGTTCTGTATCTATGACAAACCTTGGGTTTTTTGTTGTTATTGCCAAGCCTTGAATCTGAGAATCTGTTAGAGCCTGTGTCCCTTAAGGACCAACAGGATGATTTTGTTCTTGGCTTTTTAGAAAAAGGGCGTCAAACTTCAAAATGCCATTTCTAGGGGGTGCTTTTAGTTTAGATTTGAAATATTCTAATGCTTGCAAGGTCTTGCTGCATTACGTGGACAAGATTTCTTTGTTGCTCTCATGCAACAACCACTTCTGTTCATAAGGTCTGATTCTCTCCTTGGTATTCATATTGGAGGGATTTCTTGTGTGCTCCGATTCCTTTATCTATTTTCGTTTTTTTCTTATTCTGTTTTTGCTTTTTACCAAAAGCCTACCTCAAATATTGGGATTTTTTTTAAGTTTTACATTCAGCTGTATGTAAACATATACATTATATATAGAAGTTTATCAT